CTATCATGGCCGATCCGCGTCATCACACTGTGAGTGCCTGTGGAATCAAAGCGAGAATCATATTTTCTCTTGGTGCGTAACATTGCGAGCAAAGGATGGCTGACTGCTGCATTATAGAGCCACGCACTCGTCAGAGCGGCTGCGGTACCAAGGGTTTCTTTACTGTACAGCACCGAGCCAAACTACTGCACAACACTGGTGGAGATAAAATTGTTGGTTACAAGTACAGTACATTTGGTACTTGATGTGTTCGACTAGTGGCAGGGCGCGTGGTCACGGATGCGTACGCAATAGAGCGGATGCAAATGTCGAGCATTTACGTAGTCGCCTCGGTGGATGCTCGCCTGGCACAAACTGCACAGGGGCAGAGTAAAAAGTTGGGCTTGTAATTAGAAATGAAGTCTGGTTGAAGCTGAGATAGTCAAATGCGCAAACAGCACTCTAGGGTCGCCAGGGTTAAATCATACAGTAGCAGTGTACCGCAAAGGCGGGCGATGAAACGAATCTGCAATGTTTCTGAACAGTAATTAATCAGGCAGGCATTACACCTTGTCCGTTGCACGTGTGGATCCGGGGTAAAGTTGCGTTTCTGAGGGCAAGGAGAGAGGGATATAACCGCCGATGAATCGGGTGTTGACGCAAACGAAGAGTTGGAAGAGTACGGCAGCGGCTGTACCATGCTACATTGCACGAGATGCGACATATGAGAGGCGCGGGGAAAGTGAGACGGTTCCTACGTGAAGTAGCGTAGCAACGGTAGAGCTTCGAAGGGGTTGGCCCTTTCTTTGTATGGAATGTGCGTGGCGCGGGGTGGAGACTCAATTGTGAAGAATTACAAGCTGAGTAATAAGAGATGTTAAGGTCAGAAGAGTGAAGACTTGCTTGTCTCTGCGCAAGAAACGTATTCATCGGGCCAAGCAAAATGAGGTACAGTACGTAAAGAAGCGACGGTACTGTAATGCTGGCATTTTTGGTGGAGGAGGTGCGTACCAACGTGATGAGGGCGTAACGGTGCGTCATTGAAAGAAGCCACAGCAATGCGAGTACTGATCACACCCCTGGCGACTGCGCTCGCTGCGGATGGAGAGTATCTAAGTGATATTGCTGTGCTGTTACCGGCAAAGTAATTGTTACACCTTTACTGTCCACGGGGGCATGATGTGCTATTTTTGGGCTCGTTTTGGGCCTTGTCATTACTGTACAGGTTGATAGAATGCGACCGCTGCGGGACGGACGGAATTGCCCCCCATGGTGCTGCCAGATAAAGAAGTCATGCAGTACAGCATTTACAGCAGCTGGTATGAGTCCCTTCTTTTTTGATGGACGATTTAGTAAGGGCCGGGTGTTGACTTTTTGCCGCTGTTTCAGTCGGGACAAGACTGTGTGCTTGCGAATTAATTCGTTTGCAGAGGCGACCACATCGCTGGAGTATCCTATGTGTGCCTTGTACGGGAGTACAGGGACGTTCATAGAATATACGCATGCAAGATGGATTTGTGGATTTTGGTGCCAATCTCTTTACAGTCTCATTCGAGCCATATGGTAAGGCAGTAAGGGCAACTCGATTGCGTGGTAGAAATACAGTGCTGGATGCTGGGCGAAGGGAAGATGTTTTCCGAGCGATGGAGTATCGAGTACAGTATCGGAGCATAAACGCGCAGAAGTGCGGAGGCGCCCTCTAAAATCGAGTTTATAATCGCGGGTGCACCCCTGTTTGTGCAGTACAGCAAGTAATACAGTAGGAAAGTGGTCAAACGGTCTGCAAAAATTAGGCAGCCATAGAGATTAAAGTTGGAACAGGAAAGTGAATGGCTGAATCAATATTAATAGGACTATTGGTGGTGTGTAATAAATGTACAACCAGCAAACTCGGATTGAGGGTATGCGTTAGCATGCAGCGAACAAAAAGAATGAAGAGGTACAGTAGGGGAGTGTCCACTGTAAGTGCTGCTGCGATAGAAGTATTTGAGAGGGAGGGTGGTGAGAAACGAAGTGATTTCATAGCTGCTAGGCACACCGTGAAAGAACGACGTGGAAGCGCATAGCGAATTTGGGAAAGAGGCAGAAGGATCCTAAAAATAATAATTGAGAATAAGGGTGGGCTGTGTCGTTGAGGAGCGTGACACCGTAAATTACAAGAGGATTTTGGATGAGGTGATACAGTGGTAGTAGTGTCTATGAGGCGTGAGGAGCGAGTTGAAAAGGTTTTGGAGATGGGATATTTGACTGTGTTGACAGTGTGAAATGAGTGGAAAAGTGTCTCCACGTGGTCGATATTGCGTTGCGGCGACTGGCAGCGGGCCAATAGGAGAGGGGGATTGGGGGTGCAACGAGTGAAGGGAATGTGTGGGAAAACAAGCGGAAAACAAAAAGAGCAAGGAAAGCGTAGGGCGCGTAATGCGATTGGGTGAGCGGCGGGGTACGGCGAGTGGGGGTGGCGATAGGAGACCTGATAACGGGGACTGAGTGGTGTTAAAAGCGAGGGTCTCCTCCGATGGGAGGGAAGCGAGATTTGCATGAGTCGGACGAAATTGAAATTCCGCTTGATGGGGGGACCGCTTATGCCCAAAGCGTCCGGTACAGAATCCCCCACTGTAAAATGCCCCGAAATGTCCGCCCCGGAACTGCTGGGGGCCCGATCGCGGCTCGTATTGTGTGTGTGTGTGTGTAACACGCCCTATTTACACTGTCGTCACGAGGTCACGAGGTCACGGTACGATCCCGCCCACTTATGCTGTAAAGCGCCTATTTCCCCC